GATGGTACTGAGTGTGTTGTTACCAGAAGAAGCACTTGCTTCGCTAGACAAAGAGCTTAGTTTATAGGACAAGGAATGAGATGAAAACATATCCATGGCTAGCTATATGAAGAAGAAAACTCCAACCAAAGAAAAAACAAAAACAAAACTTGGAAGAAAACTATAAAAAGATCCAAACTTTGGTTTATTCTGATCTCTTAAAATAAAGAACTTTGATGCAAGTACCTAGAGAGTAGGAAGTAAGTGTACACAAAAATTAATAATTTAGTTTCTTGAGTATGTATAATGCACATGTATATGTATAGTCTCAAAAGCAAGAGGACGACCATGATGGATTATTCTCCAATGTCACTATCATATATATGTGTGTGCTTACAATAAATGCAAAGACTGTTTGATTCCCATTTTTGTATTATAGTTTTTCTATGTGCAGATAAATACCACAGAAGAGAAGAGAGAGAGAGATTGGGTTTGAAAGTGAGACTTTGACTTTCTTTTCAAATGTTTTTTTAACTATTTATTCTTTTATCTCCTGGATTTTATTTTTTTTTTATGTTGAAAGAGAGATACTGTGATTATATTTATGTTATTTTTTAAGTGTTCTGCATTACAGAGAAGAGTGATGATTACATGACCAGACTATAAGCATTTACTTAAAATTGTCTACTAAAAAGAAGAGTAGCCCCAGAAAGAAAAGAAAAAAGTAAGCTATCAATTTGTGCAATTAATGGAAAATATTGTGAGATGAGACTTAACAGGCCTAATTTCCTTAAATGGAAGTAATAATTACTTTTTAATAATTTTTATCAAGAAAAGTGCCTCTTTTCAATTTATTGGGTTTTGAATAAAGGAAACGTTTTTTTGTTTTGTTTTAGTTTGTAAGAGAATCTAAAACACAATTACCTTAGCCAAAATAAACGTTGTTCTCATAATAGAAGAACTATATTTAGTAATATAACCATTGAGGAATACCTAATAGGAAACTATATACTGGAAAATTAAGTTTCCAAGATGAAATTGTTTGACTTTTTGTTCAATTGTGCTCTTTTTCTAGTTCGATTTTATTTCATGTAAAAAAAGCTATAACTTTCTTCTAAATTCGTCTTTCAATATTATTTTTATTTTACTTGTGGTGTTATTATGAATTTGAGTGATGTTACTTTCTTCTACTAAGGCTGCTAAAACTTTATCTCCTTTTTCCTCATAGTTTCTTATAAGATACCCAAAAAAATTTTAAAAGGCACACTGATTTGAATGAAACTTATCATAAGCTATGAAATGAATCAATTAGATTTGCTCCATTATTTTTTATATCTAGTATTTTAATGCTCGGTCCGATTGAAACAATACTGCAAGATAAACTTGATTTTTTTTCTCTCTAAAACAATATAAATTTCAAAGATTCATCAAACAATCTTAAAAAGATTTTTTTTTAAAAAAACGAATTGATCTAGGTTTAAAGCTATCTCGTTCGAAAGAAGAATTAAACAACTTTATTGTTCTATTTCTCTACTCTAAGTTTAAATTCGAAAACATGAACTCAACATCCTCCATACCTCCTAGCCGAACTTAAGTTTGAATCACTCACACAAAGATAATAGAGAATTGTAGGGGAGAAAAATACATACACACAATGGATATACAAAGTAACCATTGCCCTTAAAGCATTTTGGCGTTGAATATCAAAATGGAATATGTTACTTTGTTGAATTTTTGTTTCGTCTTCCTATGATTTACTCTTGTGGATGACTTTGTTCTATCTTCCTCTCTTTTTTTTTAGTTTACCTTTTTAAGTTTTTGATTAATATTCTCATTTATCCTTTGAAAAGTGTTCAATGTCCAAAAGAAAATACTTACCCCACCAACAAGAATTTTTCGCACTCTTTCATCCGTTCTTTAACTTTTTATCTCTTGAAATTTTTCTATAAAAAATATTCCAATCAAAACACAAAGATTTTGTTAAGCCGATTTTGTCCCTAGACGTGTCTTTGTGCATGTCCATTAAATTCATAAAATAAGGATTAGGCGTGTCTGTTTTAGTAAATTTCAGTTTATGATGGGATTCCTTTGGGCTAAGAAAAACGTGTGACCATCATGAGACACGAGCGTAACTAAAACCATGCAACATCGAATATTCTTCTTTTAAAAAAAAAAATTCTTTTCAAAAAGGCTTTTTTGAATTGTGAAATATTCTTAAATGTATAATCTATACAAGATATAATTATACATGAATATTCGAATTCTTGTAACCAATAAAGCGAAGTAATGTATATTTTTGAGTACAAGAGAATTCATCTGAGGAATTTTCGAACTCTAGTAACAAATTGCGTTAATTCATCTCTGTCATTTGTATATCGACCGTCCGCAACTAAACCATTTGGTAAAGTATTTAGATCGATATGATATAGGTGATTCGTCGCATGCAGAACCTTATCATTTAGAAGAAAGAGAACTAATAAACGGTCTCATCGCGATCTAACAAAATAACGTCTGACATCTCTATTCATAACAAAATTTTAAGTGAATATGCAGAAATAACATTGTTGAAACCAGTCTAAAATAGAATGACTTGTGAACTAACGATCATCACTAGTGTTGGACGATTTTGTGCTTTGCAATTATGTGGTCTCATACTCTCATATATGATCCCATCAAATGTTTAATGTTTAATCTAGGTATGATAATTTGTGTAGCTTCCGCTGCCCAGCTTAGAGGGGTGGGCAGAGGTGCGACGGCCCGGAGTATATATAATAATAGGCCAAAAAAAATTTTTTTGCCCTAAAGCTCCCAAATATATTGGGCCGAGGCTTCCGCATATCACAAATTTTCCAAAAGGGTTAAAATTTACATGGAATTTAATATTCTTATAAAAATATTAAGACAATTAGCCACCTAAAAAAAGGATTAATAGTAAAAAAAATTCATCATGAGAAATATTTGTTTTTACACACACACACACATATATATATATATATATATATATATATATATTAAAATTATGATATATGTATATAAAATTGAAAATCATAATTTTAATAAAATAAAGATGTACAGAAATTATATAATTAACATATTTTAGAACATTTATCTTAATTTGGGCGGATATTATAAAAGGTACAACGAGAGCTTGACATAGTACCCCCATTTTAACTACTTTCTGTCTGGATTTTAATCTCATTGGCCCCTTTGGGGAGAATCATTCTTTGAAAAACCCCTCTTTATTCTCACTACCCTCTTTCCTTCCCAATTTTTTCATAAACCAATTTTACCCATTATCCTTTCTTTTATCTATTTAATTCTACATTTAATTTAATACCAACAAATTCTTTATTCAACCAATCAAAAACATTCTCTCTCTTCTCTCATTAAAATCTAAACCTAACAAATCAACCTATCAAATCAACCCACCTTCAACGATATAAATCCTTCCTACGTCTCTTCTCTTCTTCTTCTTTTTCTTCTTCCTCTTCTTCATCTTCAGCAGCTCCGACGTTCTTCTTCAGCAGCTCCAACGTTCTTCTTCTTCTTCTTCTTCTTCTCCATCCACCATTAAAAGATTTTTATCTTCTTCTTCTTACGATTCAAGCATCTCCAAACTAAAAGCGAATTCTTCTTCTTCTTACGATTCAAGCATCTCCAAATTCTTATCTCGTCTTTTCTTTTTCTTCTTCTTCTTCTTCATCCACCATTGAAGCTTACCATTAAAGCTTACGATTATGCATCTCCAAAGACATATCTCTTCTCTTCTTCTTCTTCTATTCCCACCATATTGTAAGGTAAGTATACTTGTTTTCTTAGTGTAGTATGATTGAGAAAAGTTGAATTCGTAGCTTGAATAGGGTTATTTGTTAAAATATTTTAGGATTGCAGATTTGGGACAACTGAAACTATTAGGTACAACTAAGTAGAATATTTACGGAAACCCTAAGTTTGGTGCAACTGGGACAAATGTGTACAACTATGTTGATGGTCTGCTACGAAAGTTGTGAAATTATATGCCGTTTTTCTCTCTTTCATTTTCAGGGACAATGAAAAAGAATTCAGTCATAAGCTTTGATGGAGACGATGCAGGTGGTCTACCAATGACGGTGACGTTGATGGAGACGATGCGGGTGACCAATGTTGATTTATGAGTGCTATTTATTAGGATAATTAAAAAAACGATATTGTTTGTATTGGTTTTGTTTATGAAACTTATATGTTCTGTGTTATACAACTAAGTTTTATGAGTGCTATTTATTAGGATAATTTAAGAAACGATATTGTTTGTATTGGTTTTGTTTATGAAACTTATATGTTATGTGTTGTACAACTAAGTTTTAGTCGGTACAACTATGGTTGATTGCTTTGTCGTAGCTGTGCAAATTAAGTTGTTCAGTCTTGGTACAACTAAGTACAACAGGTACAACTAAGGTCTATTGTCTTGGCCAATTTTATAATATGAAAAATTAAAACCAAATTGAAAAACTTAAAAACATGCATACACGATGGTAATCAAACTACACAACAAGTTTTTGACATAAAATCCCACATTCATACACTAACAACCTTATACTTTCATGGTTACTTTGTAGTTTTGAACTAAAATTTTATAAATTTTTGAAATACTTGTATTTTGATAAATATAAATACACAGATACAAAGTAATGGTATTTTTATGAGGCAATACCATCGGTTCCACGCACAAAAATTAAACTAGAGTTGATAACAACTAGATTTACTAAATTCTCTATATTGTACAACTATGAAAAAAATGTGCAACCGGGTACAACTGTACAACTATGAACAAATTTGTGCTATTTTTAATTATTATTTTCAAAATAACGGCGCCAAGGTAAGCTATTTGTCAGATTTTTTTAGATATTTTGAGATATCTGTAGATTCTTTTAGATATTTTCAGATATTTAACTGTTTTTTTTAATAAAAGCCCTTACAACCTACATATTTGTCAGATTTTTTGAAAAATTAAGATTTTTTTTTTTTAGTTCTAAACTCTTAGATTATATTCAATACATAGATTCATACATAAAAATATTAAGATTCAGATTCAAAGATACATACATAATTAGATAGGTTTTTAAACCAAAAAAACATAAACCCAGAAACATAGTTGTACCTGATCGTACCAGTTGTACCTAAACAATTAGCTTCATACATAACCTTAGAAACCAAAACACATCCGAACAATTGTACCTAAACACTTAGATTTATAAAAAACCTTAGAAACCAAAGAGCCTTGGGTAAAAAACAGTCTCTCCATCACCTCTACTATCACCAACAACCTTGGATACAAAACAACCTCTCCATCACCTCTATAATCACCATAATCTATGTTAAAACTAGCAGCCATGGTCTCACAATCAGACCTCACTACAGTTGCTATCTCTGAATGCTTTGGATCTAATTGCTTTTGTCTTTTGGCACTTCTAAGAGAGGCATATGGTTCGCTTCTACAACTAGATCCCCCTCCTCTTGTAATAACCATTGTAATTAGTACCTGCAATAACAAATACAAATTCAATATCAAACATTCAAAAACAGTCTCAAATTCTATATAAATAACTACAAATTGGAACAAATTCAATCCGAAAATTACAACAAATTCTGATCCAAAAATTCATCCGTTTCACAAACAAAACCCAAAAGACATACGATGTTCTCGGAAGTGTTTTTTGCCTTGGAGGCGACAACCGAGCCGATCAAGTGCTTGACCAGTTTCCCGGATCCAGAATCCTACGTTGTACAATGCTTTTCTCATTGTTCCCATCGTCTTCTTCTTCTTCTTCCCCACGAGAGATCGATTTACGTTTTATCAATGAAATCGAAAAGGGGGTTTTCTTTCGCTGGAGCCAAAATTTGTCTATTTTGTTGGTTTGGAGTTGTCGTTCTTCTTCTTTGAGAGAAAAAGGAAAAAGATGAGAAATGAGAAAAAAAATTGGGTTAGAGTTTTTTTTTTTTTTTTGCCAATTGGGGTTAGAGATTCGATCCTTAGAATGGGGAATTAAAAGATCCGAAACCCGATCCAACAAATATGGATATAGATCCAAAGTTAGGTTGGGTCCGTAATTATGTCGAAAAGTCTATATTTTTTTGGTCATTTACTATTTTTCTGAATTAAACAAAACAAATAAACATATGTTTTTTATAAAGGGGGCTAAATAGAGAATGTTTGGAGGAGAGGGGGTCGACGAGATTAAAGTCCTTTCTGTCTTGAGTTTTATATCAAGTTCACGTTTTAGACCCAGTGAAATTTTAAGTTTAGGTCGAAAGGAGAAAATATAAAATAGATTTACTGAAGACGACGACAACAACAACAAAGAATAAAGAGTGATTGAGAGTTTCAAGTTTCCAACTATGATTCTTTTAGTATTACAATTTTCACACTTTACTTTCATCTCGAAGCTCTGTTGTGTGTGGTTGCGGTTCAAGGTTCATGGCTATTAACACGGCTATGGAGTTCGAGCATCTCCTGATGGTTGGGGTCGACCGAGAGTGCTGCACGACAGTCCCGCAACGCACTAGTGACATCACCAATGTGCTCGTGGAAAGCCGCTCTTAAGTGAAGAAGATGAAGATCCGCTTTAAACGCGATAGCTCGGGATAACTCCGCAATAGCCTCTCTCTCCTTCCGACTATCCATCAACACTATCAAAAACCCACAAAAGAATAACGAAAAATCGAGTTTCGGTTAAGCCAATTATTTTCCGAGATGACAAAAAAAAAGAGTATTAAGGGTTACAAGTGAAGAAAAACCTGCAGCGCGATATCGATAAGGATAAACCCGGAGAGGGTCTAACCGGGTGACCATTTCAAGATCAGATTTGGCGAGTTCACGATCACAATACTCGGATCTTTTCTCATAGGCGGATGCATTGTTTTGAGCCTTTTCGATTAGTCTGGTCATTTCTTCGTAGGCTGCAGCTTTGTCATTTCTAAGGAAATGGACACGAGCTAGGCCTTGGTGTGCACGTGTGTGCCTCACCTTAAGAGCGTTTATATAGCAATCCGCAGCTAAGTCTAGCTTCTCGCAATCAACATAGACGCTACCAAGATTGTTCAGAGCCTAAAACAAAACAAAAACAAATAGCAATTTCATAAAGACTAAATCGGATGCATCTATTCGCCTGAGCATAAACACAAAACAAAATCGACTCAAGCCAAAATATTTAAACCAAAACCAAAGTGTACATTTCACAAAAACCAGGCAGTAACATAATTGACTAATACTGACTAAACCGAACCGAAACAGAACTTAATGCAACCAATTCCAATAAACCTGAAACATAGTTTTTCTCTTCACTGATTAACAAATAGATGTACTGATGATGGTGAACAACCGTACCTGACCTTTGCGCAACCTATCAGAGGGGCATTTAAGAGCATCTTCAAGAAGTGAAACAACAGTCGAAGAACTCGATGGATCGAGGCTAGATTCCGCTAAGGCATAAGCTTGGAGGAAATAAGCTTCGAATGATCTCTTTATTCTAATGGATTCCTTAGCCTTTTGAAGCCCTTCTTCGCAGTGACCTGTATCATACAAGATCCATCCTTCGTAAACTAGTCGCTCGTGGTCACTCGAGGCATGCTCCCGGGCTAACTGTAAACTACGCATTGCTGCTTCGGGACAATTCAACCTGGTCAAAACAAAGGTATGAAAATGAGATGCTTAAATAACGGTCTTGTTAGGACAAAACCGATCAAAAACATAACTGAAGTCACCAAATTATATATTTGATTAATACCACACTCTAAACAAAACAGATAAATTCAGTGTAAAAATTCACTCGAACTAAAACCGTACTAAACCGGTCTTACTTTAGCTACTATTTTTCAAGAACTTAAAACCTGAATAAAAATACGAATTGAACACCACTATGGCTTGGTAACCATATTATAGGATGAATACGAGAGTGCTGAATTATAAAAAAATTACCTTAGGAGAAGCAAAGATTGCCTGAAGTAAAGAACACCTTTGCAAGCATCGGATTCGAGCATCTGATAGATTACGGAAAGAGAACCTATATCATCAACATTCGACCATTTCTCATATAGCTGCATCCAACAATCTGCAGTTGTCCAATTCTCGACATGCTCATACACAAGCGTCCGGAGCTGCCTCCCAGCTACTTTCCCATCGAACATTCGATAATCCGGACACAGAGTAAGAGCCGCCTGGATATCACGAAGAGCCGCTTCATAGTCATCCATACCAAGATAAAGACAAAACCGAATTTCTAAGCATTCTAAAGCAAGTTTAAACCCCAAGATCCGATTGATTTCTTCAAGCGCAGCCTTAGCATTTTGTTTCGACATTAGAGTGACAGCTCTATACATGTAAGGATATGTCAAAGTCGGGTCCAATTCAGTTGCCTTCTCGAGATCTTCCAATTTCTTATCACCCTCACAATAGAAAGACCTTTCCTGATACATCCACCCGAGAGGTGGCGAAACAGAGGAGATTACCGAGCTTAGCTTCTCGTAAGCCCAAAGCCGATGCCCTTGGATGTATCCTAGTCTTGCTAAACCAGTAGCAGAATACACATGGCCTAAATTAAAAGCTGATTCAAAAGCTTCTTCGGCCTCCCGGTATTCTTTCCTCAATAGCCTCATACACCCTAACCGATGGAACCCCAATACTTGTTGCCGGTCATTTTCTGCAAAGTCAACTAGTTTCTCCAAGAAACCCAATGTTCTGTCAGACCGAGGATCTATACGCATCGAGACTTCACTTAAACAAGAGTATAAGGAGAATGAAGCATTTCCTGCCATGGTTGAGACTTGAGATCTATTAACTCGAGTCAGAACCTCGACAACACGCTCATCCGTCAAACTATCGGGCATCTCATATAGAAAAACTTGCAGACACGATGTAGCTAGGATGGGGGAATTTTCTTCGAGTGCAAAGTCCATAAGCTCAATGGCACATTCCATAGAAGAAATCAAAGATGCCAATTCTCTATCGCATGCATCTTTGAGTCGCTCGCAGCAAAACTTGTTTGCGAAAACTAAAACTTCCAAAAGAAGGTTCTTGGAAACTCCGATTAATACACCCACAACGCTGAAATCTCTAACAACCCGCATAGCTGACGAGGATACATGATTTTCTGACATATCTATCTCATCAAGAAGTGATTCCGTGAAATTCCCATAAAGCATTGCATGAAATGGAGCTGAAAGACTGGCAATTTTTTGCCTCTGGCAAGCTATCTTATCTTCTCCTATCTTAAACACAACATTTTTCGATACACTGCGCTTGGTCTTCACAGATGCTGCCTCAGGGGAAAAAGCAGTAATAGCTGGGAAATAGGATGCAATATCCAGCGGCACAAATTCTTCAGAAAATTTACCACAAGAAGAAAGCAAATCTGTGATAACTTCTTCTCCTTGTTTCTCATACCTCAACCAAGACCCAAATACAACTTTCTCATGTACAGTAGTAGCCTCTTGCCAAGCTGACTGAAGGCTTCTCTGTCTAAGTTTGGTCTCGCCAAGACCTCTAAACACTTGATACTGCAATAAATACAGAATCGATCTCTCCTGCAAAGGGCAAGTCTCGAGTTCTTCGTGAATCTGAGCTAGAACTTCTACGTAGTTGACAGGTTTATAATGCGGCAGTATCTGCGGCTGAGGAACTTTGATAAACGATTCTCTGCATAGTGGACTACAAAAGACCAAATATTACTCCATATACAAAACGTCTCAAGCTCAATAACCAATAAGAAGATACGCAGGAAAGAAGAAACTTACGCAGATGAAGAGGCAGAGGAAGATAGCTTCCCTCTCTCAACTTGAAGCCATGACTGTGGATTCAAGGAATCGAGCTGTGATTCTTTACAAGAATCAGATGGGTAAAAAGTCCTCATCTGACATAACAGATGAAACAAATCCCAGATCTCCAGGATAGCCAGAGGATAATCAAAACACTATCTTCTTGTCGATTTCACACTACCCAGCCCAGAAACTAAGTGAAGATGTGTTAACTAATGGAATCTTATACAAACAAAAAAATCTGAACTTTGGTATTATGAGATCTTCCAACACCTAAAGCTAAAGCATTTCTCTATGTGCAGCAGATAGAACAAACCTAAATACATAAATGAGAATTACAAAACTCAGTCGAAACAACAGATAAAAACCCTACAAAGAAATTAAGAGACCAAAACTACATACAGCTTTCTCAATCTACCAGCAGTGGTAACACAATCTAGTGGCTAAACCCAGAAAAATCAAAGAGAATCTAACAAATCTAGGATGTCTTAGACATCAAAAAGTAAGAATCTTTGAACCAGCGAGACAAAGGAAGAGAAACGACCAGTGTGGTTGCGCGAGGTTCTGCAATTTCAAGAGAAAACCCTAAAACAGAGGAGGTGTGCTATGGAGAGATTCGGACAAGTTTGAGCAAAAGTGAATCGAAGTGAGAGAGAGAGAGATGTGAGCAGAGAGTGGGAAATATTTTTCCAAATTCTCAGAGCTCTTTTGCTTCATTGGTAAAAGGGAAAGTTTTTCTTCTTTTCAATTGTTTTTTTTCTCATATCATCATCCTCTCTTCTTCTTCTTCTTCTTTTTTTTTTTTTTTTAATTGAAGATCTCCACACAAACAGTAATCACCACTATCGGATTCTTCTTCGGCCACTCTTCAAGAGATGGCTAAAAAAATTTAAAAACTAAATTATCAATTTTTCTATTAATTACTCTCTCCGTTTCAAAATATAACAGGTTTTAGCTAAAAGTACGCTCATTAAGAAGATATACTTTTTAAAAGTCCAGCCAATCATAAAAGAGGCTACATAATAAAAATAATTATAAAATATTAAAGTAATATATAATTTGCATAGAAATTTGAAAACGATTTATATTTTGAAACAAAAAAGTTTCTCCAAAACGCCTTATATTTTAAAACGGAGGTAGTATAATTTGTACATTCTACAATAATGTATACAAAAAT